CCCCAAAACCCCAAAACCCCAAAACCCCAAAACCCCAGCAAATAGGATTACTTTTGAATTTGATATAAAATTAAATTTGAAATGACGGAGGTGAGTCAGCATAATCTCTTAATCAAGTCCACACAGACTATACTAGTCTTGTCATGAGTTTGTTATTCCTTATTTAAAGAGCAATAATCTTATATTCTATAGTAGATCCCCAAGATATCACCAGTAAAAAGAAATATTTTGTTCTCGAATTCAGCAGAAGGCATTAGGGATAATTATACTAAGAAAACAGTGGGCAAGCAGAGCCAAAATGTTAATTTACCCAAGAAAGATCTCAGACAGATTATGTATGAAGCTAATGCAGTATTGAAAATGGCTAATGATGAGCTTCTTAATTTAACACAAAAAGATCATCTGAAATAAACTTAAGATGCTTTCTAAAAATGCACGGAAAAGTTGTCAGAAAAGAACTCAAGACCAGAATGTGTTTACTAATTCTGCCATTCTTCTAGCTGGTGAATCTGTTGAAAAGAATAATAAAAGTGTAGAACAGCTTAATATTTCCGATCACGAATTCCCTCATGATCAGATCCATTCTAGTTCTCAATGTAACAAGAGATATAAGAAATAACTTCATCAAAGTGAACATCAACAATCTTAACAGAGTGTGTAAGATCAACCGGAGAAGGTTTCAGTAAGCTTTTTATTATAAAACCCCACAGCCAAAATTTGAATGAACATGTTATTGTAAAAAGAAAACCTCCAGCAAAGAAAATCCCAAAAAGTAAAACCAATGAAGAAGAGGCCACATTCCTTGGCTCAAGGACGCATTATAATAATTTTAATCAAACAGCTCTCAATCTGTTAAAGAAGCGAGTAGCTAGGACAGCTTCTGCTAAGAACAGAGTCTCAAGGAACCCTAAAAAGAATGCATTAAGTATTAATCCATATCTCTCAGCTGAGGATCGAGGACCTTTATTTATGAGTGAAATACTACCAGAGACATCAATCATGAATACAACCCAGACAAGCCTTAAGAGATCAAATAATAAGAAAAAGAAGAACATTAACGACAAGAACATCATTGTTCTTGAAGGAATGAAGGATACTATCCAGAAGTTCAAACAAGGCAACCAAAACAGCAAGAAACGAGATAATTTGCCAAAGTTCTTAGGGCCAGAAATTTATGGGCTCAATCTCACAACAGTGAGCGATCCTAAGAACCAGACCTTCTATACTAACTCTACTGCTGAGCAGAGTAGAATTAGGCCAATCTCAGCTAAAGCAGCAAACATGAAAATCGGAAATCTAAAAGAGTTTACAATGAAAATCAGGAGAGCACATGCTAGAAGTATTGAAAAATCTTAATACAGGTTTCAAATTTAAAAGAATTTGAGGGGTTTTGGGGTTTTGGGGTTTTGGGGTTTTGGGG